GACAGGGGCTCACCAGTGTTAGCATTCCCGCACGTCTCCAGCCTCCCCAGGCACTCTTTGTGAGCGCCGACCCCACACTTGGCACACCGGTAGCCCTGGTTGAAGATGCCCCTGGAAACAGAGATGGTGGCATTTAAGAGATTAACTCTGCATGTTAATCAGCCGCAGAGCCGGTGTGTGTGGCTGGAAGAGGGGGGGCTCTGATAACCAGCTATGCCCCCCAGACCACCTGAACATTTACACCCTGCACAGAGTCCATCGGCCAAATGACTTTGGAGCAGTTTGCTCCAGGCTCCGCTGAGGTTTGACAGGGGCACCGCCGCCCCACACAGACACTAACCATCAAACAGTGACATCCCCACAGCACGAGCCAATCAGCAGCGGCTCACCTCAGCAGCATCCTGCAGGAGCCACAGTAGGTGATCCTGTCAAAGGTGTGCATTCTGAACTCGTGCAGGTTGCTGTTCCCATTCTCAGGATGGATGTTGGATCTGCACGGGCGGGACAGAGACAATCTCACCAACAGGTAACACAGAATGACACAGAACACAGAAAAATAACATGTGATTTACACAAGGAAGCTGATTGCATTTCACACTGGACAAATGTCCCTTCTCAGCATCAATATCCATTTTGAAATCATTTTTGAAATGATTTTGTGTTAAATTATAGCACTACGCCTGAAGATACCAAAACTGTTTTAACATCGCTTTCTCACAACCAGTCAATAAATCCAGCTAAAGCTGTTTATTTTCAATATTGCTTTCATTTGTCTCGCAGTAAAATATCACATGACTGATCTCCCCCTGTTTGAGAATGTGTACGTACCTAGTGTACCTAGCCCATCTGTGACAAAACAAGCATATATATCTGATCATTGATAAACCCTGTGTCAGTGTAAAGATGCCACATCTATGAGTCAATACAGAATTTGAAGCCAACACTGACCCCGAAGCTGAATCTACTCTGAAGCCCCTAACCCTAACACCAACACCAGTGAACCCCTGTGTCTACTCACCACCCTCCATTGTCATCTACAGCTTGTACCACACTGGTCAATCCTTCAGTCCTTTTCACGAGAAAACCTTCCACTTTGCATGAAGCTGCTTCTGAAGCAGACACTGAATCTGAATCCAACAGAGACTCTGAAGCTCACTCAGCTTCTGAAGGAGAACCTGACACTGAAGCCATCAGTCTCTAAAGCTGAAACAGACTCTGAAGCCAGCAGTCTCTGAAGGCACCACAGCCACTGAAACTGACACAGACTTTGAAGCCACGCAGACTCTGAAGTTGAAACGCCGCAGTTTCTGAAGCAGACCCTGAGTCTGAAGCTGACAGAGACTCTGAAGCTGACACAGCTTCTGAAGCAGGCCAGGATTCTGAAGCTGACACCCCTGAAGAAACAGCCTCTGAAGCTGCCACAGACTCTGTAGCCAAGAGCCAACACAGATTCAGAGGCCACCGCAGACTTGATGCCGGGAGCACAGACTCTGAAGTCAGCACAGACTCTGAAGCCACCCAACTCTGAAGCGAAACACCCTCTGAAGCTGACACAGACATCTGCAGGGCCACACCACAGTCATGTTGATTAGCTTCTCGTGGACTAATTTTTGCTAAAGTTGGAGGTGTTAATGGCTTAGCAACTGGGCAGAATCACTACTGGCTTTGTGGCAGACTGCAGACAATGTCTGTATTCTGCCCTAAGGGGCCCTAACCATGCCTTGTTCCCCCCATGCCAGACAGACAGGCACCGTCCCCACCCTGCCCTGAAACAGACACTCACATGGCCATGCTGAACTGCTCCAGCCACTTCTTCTTCATCTCTTTGGTCTTGAAGAAGAACTCGAAACCATTCTGCCCATGCAGGTGGGTGAGGTAGAATCCGTACGACCACTGTGGGTGAGGGGGGAGCATGAGACACCAGAAGAGACGGTATCAGTGAAGGGCTGCAACTATGCTGAAGTACAAGTCACATCAAATGAAAACGTGGGTGCAGGCTGTGCAGCTTCACAGGGGATCTCCCTGCAAGTAACTGAGTTAATGGGAACCCAGTGAGCCCTGTGTGTGTGTGTGTGTGTGTGTGTGTCTGTGTGTGTCTGTGTGTGTGCATTTGCATCTGTGTGTATGTGTGTGCATGTGTGTCTGTGTGTACGTGCATGTGTGAGCATGTGAGACAGCCCTCAGAGGACATCGGCAGAAATCACGCTAATTTAATTAAGACACAAATTCAATCTCCGCCTCATTTCCATAACTTATGTAACAGACAGGTAATAACTTTATGGCAAATTGCTGCCAAGCAGGTCATTCAGGGAAGCAGAGGATGTTTGTCTGTGATGATCTCTGTGAAATCCATGGGAAGGATTCGGGAACATGCCACCGAACGGATGCTAGTGCTCTTCCCGGGATTTGGCGGGCGCTGGGCGGGGGCGTCAGGATTAACTCACTCACACACTGGGGACACTGTGGATGGCTGCTGAAATATTTCATGGTATGATATCTGTGCCTGATTTTGCACCATGATATTTCCATCACTTGCCTAACATCCTCAGTGGGGCCTGTCAGCCGGCAGGCATTTTTATTCACTCTGTTAGCAGAAAAATGTCCTGTGTTGCTAAATACTCTTATAAGCATCTTAGAGGCATATTACACGCGTCAAAGGAGGTTGTTTATGGTGACAGAGAATCATCATCATCTTCTTCGTCATCGTCATCATTACCACCATCGTCGTCACACAGACCTTTTTGTTCTCTTTATCCATCGCTGGGTTGCTAATTTTGAAACTGTGGAGGTCGATCACCTCCTTCATCTCGTAGTTGTCCCCTCGCCGTTTGCAGACAATCACGGCCATGTCAAAGAGGAAGATGTGTCTGTAGCGGGGAGATGGGCCCGGGTGAGCCAGGCTCAGTTCTACGGTCAGGATTGAGGTCGCGGGAAGGCGGGTTCACCTGTCCTGCTTGGCCCGCTTGTCCACGGACAGCACGCGCACCTCCCCATCGCCTTTGGGTCGCCCGTAGTTCCGGAGGGACTGATTCTGTAGGACAGAGAGACATGTAACATTTAGAGTATATGCATAACACTCCACTAGTGGTACATTAACCTTAAATCAACATTCCTATGTATCCTAAAGTTTTCACTCTGCATCTGTCAGTCTAACATGGATATTAGCTATGAACAACAGTCTCTCCTTCTGAACTAGCACCTTTCTGATTTGCGGTCCTGCATGAATGTCAATGTTGCACATGATTCCAGCAGCACAAAAACCCATGAGACGATGCTCTGTTCTAGAGAGAGTTGCAATGATGACACTCACATAGACCCAGACTCACCAGGTTCTCCATGGATCTCTGATATCCATGGTGCTCGAAGAGCCACTGATAATGGTCTATCTGGGTGACTCACCAGGTTCTCCATGGATCTCTGATAGCCACCGTGCTCACAGAGCCACTGTTAATGGTCTATCTGGGTGACTCACCAGGTTCTCGATGGATCTCTGATACTGGTCAATCTCCCGCAGGGTCTCATTGTCTCTCTTCACTTCGTTGACATACTGAGCCAGGTCCTGCGTCACAAGCAGCAGAACATCAGTTACTCCAAAACCAGGTGGTCCAGTCCTAACCAGGCGGCCCAGTCCTAACCAGGCGGCCCAGTCCTAACCAGGCGACCCAGTCCTAGCCAGGCGGCCCAGTCCTAACCAGGCTGCCCTGTCCTAACCAGACAGTGCTGTCCTAACCAGGCTGCCCTGTCCTAACCAGACAGCTGTAACCTGACCAATACGATACACCATCCTAACCAGACAGCTCTGCCCTGACCAATACCATACACCATTGTACACACAGCAGCATATGTAATCCGGCAGAGCCTCAGCAATTTTGTTTTCCCACAAGCTCTAACCCTACAGAGATCACCAGCTTCTGAGGAGGATTGTTCTCAAATGTCACGTGTTCTGCATCCTGCATGCATATATTACACAGATTTCCAGTAACAGGGTGATCAAACAAATCCATCAATAATAATCTAGGCCCAGAGAGTGACGTTTCAGGAAAACAGAGAAATCCTGCACAGCAGAGCGAGGAGAGAAACAACAGAGAAGAACTAACTGCATTAGCGGCAAATTCCCTGATCAGTGTTAAGTGGATCATTTAAGCAAATGAAATCATCGCAGCCTTCGGAGCCATTTGCAATTTTCTTCTTCAAGTGATTTACTTCAATTATGGCAACATCACCTGTCAAAGTATATTAACAAGTGTCTTAATCAAGGCCTGAAGTCCCACATCAGACACTACTGAATTTCCATGCCGGCTGTTTTTATGGATATAAATAATTCTAATAAACTTTATTAGAATAGCAGCACCATGGAAAGCATACTGGTACGTGCTAAAAACACACCAATGTATTCTAGAGCGGAGACACAGTCAGAGGTCAGGGACACTTTCCACATCCCTGCATTGCTAACATGTAGGTAATGTGTTCTAGATGCACCCTGAGTACTGTGCTGGTCCAGCTTCTGGAAGGATCTATAGTGAAATCCATACTAATAAACGTAGCTTCAAATAGTGTCATAAAGGAGAGGGAACTCTCATCTCTCACAGCGATGAGTCCAGCAGAGAATTTAGCTCTATGAATGACATTCATAAAAGATCCAGGCTGCTTGTAAAGGAGGATGAGGAGCGATTTGTCTCCAGATGGACAGCGTGCCTTCAGCATGGGCTGCTTCCCCACAGGATATGATGTCACACTGATGGCGAGCAGGGGCCTCAGCCAGCCCATTCACGGAGCCCACAGCCACCCACTCACCTTCATGGCATCTAGGGCGGTGCGGAGATTCCCCTTCTCCGTGGGGTCATGCGTGTGTTTAACCAGTTCCTGGAACAGAAGGATAATGAGTGTGAGTCCTAGCACACTAGCGCACAAGGGCACCCCCCCTACCGCTCATTCCCCCACAGCTCACCATGTGACGCTATTTTAACCACCCATACAGCCACACACCGCCCCCCCAATCTTGAGGCACAAGCCGAACCCCCCACTGGGTGGCATGTTAGAATCCAGACCAGAAGGTTGTTAGTTCAAAACCCAAGGTCAGCAGAATGATGTCATCATTGGGCCCTTCAGCAAGGCCCTTAACCCCAGCTGCTCCAGGGACTGTCTGACTCTGACTCTGCTCTCTGATCCTCTAATGTATGTTATGCTAAGTAAGTAAATGTAAAAAGCAGTTAGGACTCGACCTCGGTCCCCATGAGGCCTGTGGGGTCAGAGGGGTTTTGGTCGGGGTGTCTAACCTGCTTCTCTCACAGGAGGGCACTCGTGGTTTGGGTCAGGACCTACCCATAACACCCATACGTGCTATAACACCCATACGTGCTATAACACCCATACGTGCCATAACACCCATACGTGCCATAACACCCATACGTGCCATAACACCCATACGTGCTATAAAAATGCATCTCCCCCAAACACACACAGCAAGTCGTTTTGAACTGAGTACAGTCACCGCATGAAATACATTGAAATGCAAAAGGTTCTGGGCTGTTCTTTGGAAAACGAGAGGCCTGGAAAAGATGGGTAAGGGCTCCCCCTGGTGGTGACTGCATGAGTGAGCTCTTTCTACACTCAGCGGCAAAGTCACCTGATACATACACAAGCTCAGTCATTTATTTGGGTTATTGGAAAACAAACACAACTTACAAGCATACGATCATTAACAGATGCATGTGATCAATGAGTGTGCTGAAGCAGTGAACAGTTCCACACTGACATCAAAAACTGCATGTTTTCAGCTGGGAAACCCGTGACCTGTTAACAAGGGGTGTTACAGCTCTACAGCTGACCCCAGGGCTGACTTCACAGCTCACGGCTGTACGTTAGAAAGGGCTGGAAGCGTTGACCTTACCTGCAGAAGCAGGTGATATTTTAATACTCTCTGCATGGGCACCACCAGCAGATCCCTTAACGTAAACTTCCCACTGTTGGCTCTTTTCGAACACTCCTGAAACAAACCAGGTAAATATCTTATATCTCCAAACATACACCAGTAACCATTATGTATGTTATCCGTGCAGATCACATGGTATCATTGGTCAAACCTACACGTTTCAGGGAATATAAGCAGATGTCTAGTAAGCTGCAATAATTAACTTCGACCACTAGAGGGGGGCATTTGACCATCATTTAAACACTTAATGGCTTTAATACGAACAATTGTTAACCACCTTACCTCAAGTTTCAATCTGACATCCTCCCTGTCTTTGCTGATATTATCTAAAGTCGCAATGGCCGGTTCTACATGACTGCAGTACTTTCCGTATATAAGAAGCCTGGAATACAATACGAGACAGTAATTATTCACATTTACATCAAAGATGAACAATAATCAGTCCTTAAAGCCGGGAGTTCTTAACCTCTCTTTGTAGGCCACAAAGATCTGATACAAGTTTTGGGCATTCTTGTTGACAACGGAGTCCTGCACTTCAACCATTAGACATTTGTGAACTTTGACCAGGTCCTAAAAGGGAAGAAAAATCGAGGTCAGATACTAGTATCGTAAAAGAGGAAGAAGAAGCAAAGACAGCAGGAGTCAGACTAGACTGGGCCCTACAGGGTCAGAAGCCATGGCTGTCTGCTTGGCTCTTATCCATCCATCCATCCATCCATCCATCCATCCATCCATCCATCCAACAGTTTATTCTAGTCAGTGTCACAGGCTAATTCATTCACCCATTCATTATGTTCATCATTTTTACCTGAAACATGGAACTTCTCAGAATGTTTGGTGCTATTTTAATGCACAGAGTTGGTGAGAACTACATACAAACATGCACATGTACACGCATGTCAGAAAATGCACATGGCCCACGCTGATGCTTACTGGGATGTTGACAAACACTTTTTCTACTTCCCCCGTGGACAGGAACTTCCTGAGAGGTGTCATGAAGAACTGTGGAAGCACATGAAGATGTTTGGATTGGTTGTTTCCCCAATCGGGTGGCGAGGTGCTCCTGCCCCACTTGCTGATTCAGAGTTTCCGGAAAATATCTCTCTAACACTGAAAGCCAAATAGCTAAAAATAAACAAACTAACTTGCAGAAATGGAGAATAACAGCAGAAGCATGAAGGACAGTACCCATGGAGATCAGTGACTCAGAAATCAGCTGTGAAAAACAACGGGCACAGGGCTGAGAGGGTGACTGGGGGTGGCGGGCCATGTTTGCGGTGTTTAGAGGCTCATCTGTGGTGCTCAGAAGCCGTGTGCATTTGAGCGACGACCTTATGACCTTATGCCGCCCCCAGAGGTGCAGAGACAGGACAGACAGGGCAGGGGGCCCTGAGGGAGGCTGATTACATTGTACATTGCAAAGTCAAATCTGCTTTATTTGAGTATTCTGTTTTTCACAGAAGTGAAGATACATGTCTTGTGTTTATTAAATTCCCTTGGTTGATATTATTAATTTACAGTTCACAGTAAAATAAAGGTAATACAATTTAACCATTCCAGGGGGGTGTGTGAGTTTTTTGCATAGGGCCCCCAGAGTCCCTAGAATCTTCTCTGGCTGTCCCTCCACTGTCCTTCGGCTGTTCCCACCTTCTCTATGGACTCCAGGGTCTCTGTGTACTTCTCCTCTGTCTGTTTGATCTCGGTAAGGCAGCAGCCTCGGATGTCAGTCTCAGCCTGTTTCTGTAATCACAGGAGAATCGGGATAGGATTGGCCAAAGGCAGACAGCATGAGGAGGAAATCATCCAATCAAGGTCAGCCGGACATAGCTCCACCCTGTGGGTGGAGGAAACCTGAGGCAAAAGGACATCCAAAATCCTTCAAAGCTGTCACCCTCCATCAATGGAACAGATTACTATCCGATGAATATTTCATGCATAATTTTATTTTCCCCCAGCATCCCGATTGGTATTTCTGCCTCATCCGTGAGAATGTGAAATTCATTTGACCGATATCAGTAATCACAACTAAACAGCTGTCCAGATCCGAAGACTAGAGACGGCTACCTGGATGGGTACCATGTGTAAAGAAAGTGTGTAAAGAAAGTGTGTAAAGAAAGCGTGTCATCATACCGGTGGGGGGACTGCCTCAGCCTTCATCAGGTCCTCGTAGACTTCCCCACCTTCGTCATCGTCATACACGTAGTCATACAGGTCCTCCTCATCCTCGACTCCATTCTCACTGTGATATGTGGGGGGAGGGGCCAAAGATCACATGACAGCGCTAGCTGGCTATACCTATGAGGTCAGAGACATCACACAAGGGGAGCATATCCATCAATTAGGGTTCAAAAAGTCCCTGTAACGTAGGTAGTGCTGGTCATACTCTATCAAATCCTCCAGGTGACTGTAGATGTCGTCGTCATCCATGCTGTCCTCGGTAGGGAACGGTCTGTCGATGTAAAATGTGCAGCTTTACGGAACATCATCGTGGGTCAGGATCTTAATCAAGTCCAAGTTTACATGAGATTTATTATACAGACACGTACCTTATTCCCATTTGTTGTGCAATCGCCGTATGTGACAATCTCGACAGGGTGTCCATGACCTGTGCAAAAAAAGCATGACTATTCAAAATAAAAGGGGAAATTCACCTGAGAGATGAAGGCTTTTAAACAGTGTGTGTAACTGAAAGACGCCCCAATTATTCAGGCCTGATTGGCATGATGGTCACTTAGAGAACATTAAAAGCTCTTATCAGAATTCATGTCCACTTAGTTATCTGACTCTTAGATCAAGAGAAAACTGGATGAGCGATTAATATGATTAAATCCATATTCAATTTGACTGACAGTATGGACAGCAGTTAATGAACACTGTGCGTTCACTGTGGTGAACAATGATTCAAAAAAGGCTTCTAGAAAAGGCCAGGTGATGAGCTGCTTAGGGGGGATGTGGATGATGGCTGGGTGAGTATCCTCAGCAGTCTGACCACAGCCTGCTCATTCAGGTCACAGACAGGAGTCCCAGAAGGAGTGGCTTCTCCACCGCAACAGCCGTGACTGAGCGATGTTCAGTTTAAAGGGGCAGTTCACCCAAAACTGAAATAAGATGCGTTATAAAGGGACTATAGTGCTATCTATCCATCTAGGTTGTTCATCTGGGAGTTGCCTAGTTTTGGAGTTAGATTCAACAGCAAAAAGACAGGAGCAGAAGTACCCCTGCGCAGTGATACAATTGGTGTGTGGAGTTTGGTAGAAGAAAATGCTTCATACATTAAACCGTTCATTAAAGGTCTGTGGATTTTCTTCAATAACCGGGTCATTTTTCAAATGTATTTTTCTGCTGCTTTAATCACCACAGAAAGGATGCTATTCACTCCCATTATATTGCAGAGAAGCCCGACATTTCTACGGCAGATATCTCCAATGTCATGCCCAGATCCGTCCGATCCTCGTGTGTGCCACGCCCACCTCGTTACCTCGTGTTAATCCCTGATTGTCATCACCTGTTTCCTGTTCCTTTTGACTTGTCCTGTGTCCCAGATCGGTCATTGTGTGTTGTCATGTTTGATGGTCGATGTCTGCCCGGATCCCGTAATAAAACCCGTTTGTGTGTATGCTCTATTCGCCTGCTTCCCCGCTCGCCTGCCTGCCTGCCATCCAAAATGCAGCAACTCCCAGCAGAACAACCTAGATGGATAGATAGCACTAATCTGAAGAATATCTTTTTCAGTTTTGGGGTGAACTGGCCCTTTAAGAATTTCAGCCAGCCATTTTATTTTTCCATTTTAGTTATTTAGTGGATGCTTTTTATCGAAAATGACATAAATTTGCAATTGGGGGTTAAGGGCCTTGCTCAGGGGCGCTACAGTAAAACCACTCCAGTGTTTTTACCGGGATTACTGGGATAGCAACCTTCCAATCACAGACCTGGCAACCTAACCTGCTGAGCCATGCATTAAAAGCAGAGATCCAGTCACAGTCGCTGGATATCAGGGTGTGGGAGCTTCACCAGACCAGGAGACCTGCATGTGCTGAGTAGCAATAGCGTGAGCCTATGGGCCCACGATCCACACCCACCACAATAGCGTGAGCCTATGGCCCCATGGTCCACACCCAACACAATAGCGTGAGCCTATGGGCCCACGATCCACACCCACCACAATAGCGTGAGCCTATGGGCCGACGATCCACACCCACCACAATAGCGTGAGCCTATGGGCCCATGGTCCACACC